AATGAATGCAAGAAAATAACATCAGATACATTAAGAAACGTTAATGAGTCATTAATTTCTCGATTCAGAAAGTGTTCTGATGCAAATGGTCCACATTGAACCTTTTTTGTAAATAGACATAAACATTAAAATATCTCCTAAGGTAATAATTTTTTTACATAAATAGGGTAATACTTTTTTGTAAATAATATAAAAGAGCATCAGATGATGCTATAAAAAATATATGATTCCATTTAAAAAAACATTAATGACTTTCATATGTCCTTGACACGTCCACCTAAAAAAAAAAAGTACCATCAGTATGAACCCCTTTTAAAGCCATTCAACTCCATGTTAAACATTGTCTGCTACGCGTAATAATAATAACGTAAATCTAGATGGTAAAATGTGGTGACCCACCCTTTATATATATATATATCTTTATAGATATAATCTATATCTATATATCTATATTATATCTATATAGATATAATCTTTTATTATTTTTCTTTTGATATTATATAAAGAATAGAATTAATTACGATCATTAGATCAATTTAATTATATTTTCAACTTAAACAAATATTTATTCCGCAATTTAAACGGATTTGATGTCAGAGATTAGAAATGGAATATTATCTTGATGTGCCAAGATTTATCATACGTTATTATATGACTTTAGATACTCGGCCAATTTTATATAAGTCTATCCTATTCATCTATTCCATTTTTATAGATATACAGTTTTATATAGTAACATATATATATATATATATATATGTATGTGTGTATTATCTATATAGATTAGGTAAAGAAATTTATTTTTAACATTTATCTTGGCATTTATTCTATCACACATTTTATACTTAATTTATTCTCTTTTATTAAATATTATAAAAATAATAAAATAAACGTAATATAATGACGTAATTAATAATAATATGTCAGGTTGATATTTTAAAAACGGATAATCGATTAACTATTATATCAATGTTTAAATAATTAATTTTCTCAACACATTAACGTTGTAACATTTATTAGATGACATATTTTACGGATAATTTGTTTTTTCATTATTTACATTTAAACATTATAAAAATTTATAATGGTGGTGTATAAAATGTCAGGTTGATATTTAAAATTGATAATCGATCAATCATTGTCTCGATTACTCGATGAAAAGTATTTATGAAGATTACATTTATTAGAAAAAAAATGATATATATATATATGCTACCGTATAAACATCTTTATCTTATGTATTCATATATATATATATAGGTATAAGAATTTACGAAATACGATATAAAGTTGGATCTATATGGATATCTATAAAAGATAATATTTAATTGTTTGGAAAAATAATTTCATTTTCTTTTGTTTTCTTTTGATACGTACGCATCGTTAATCCTATTTATTGATAATAACAAATATCAAAAAGAAAAACATTATTTTATATATTAACAATTGGACCACTTCAGACTGAAGTCAACAAAATTAAAATCAAACGGACAAAATAAATAAACAACGAATTTAATTTACTCAAAAAAAACGAAAAAAAACGAGATAAGTTAATATTATCAATTCGATAAGATAAACGTGATATAAACAAAATGAAATATATATCTATATCAACATACACGTGCGAGAGCATGAGTAACAACACACAAAATAATTTTATACATGATACTATAATTAAAATCATCTTCTCGATGAGGTAACATAAAGACTTCGTAATATAATTAAAAAAAAAAAAAAAAAATGACCACAGAAAAAACTAAAAAAAAAAAATGTTAAGTTACTTGGCAAATATTAATACCTAGAAATAGAAGAAAGTCTGCTGCTCGTCAAAATTTTTTCTTTGAACTATACAAACACAACGAGTCTCTTGATAATTAGACGAGAAACATAAAGATAGAAAAATGAAAGAAATGGAAGAAAAAAAAAAAATAATAAGAAAGAAATAAAGAAAGAATGAAACGATTTATGGTAATTCCGATAAAACCATACAACATACATCTTTTTTTTTTTGTCTCTTTTGAACTTTTCACGAGTAAGCGTAGTACACGTATTAGATATTAGTATAGTATAATACTAGTTATAATTAAAGCAAATATAGTCACATCATCTCTATCCTATGTTTCACTATGCGGTGGCTAATAGATGATTACATAATGTCATGCAACGCGTGTTATATGTTGCCTCTTTCAGTTTCTTCTCTCTTTCTTTCTTCCCTTTTACTATGTCTTTTCTTTTTATACATATATATATAAAATAATATCTTTACGTAATCTTCCTCATCCTATATCGTTTTTTTTTTTTCAAACGATGCAACGCAACGGCAAAAAAAAAGATGATGGATAGAAAATAAAAAATAAAAAGAAATATAATATCTACTCCACTTTATACCAGAGATGAGAATCAAAGGAAGTTGTTGTCTCAAGGACGCGAAAGCCTCTTTTTATGATAGAAAAAAAAAATAAAAAATAAAAAAGGAATAATAATAATAATAATATTTTTGCATGTGAATTATTTCGAAAATAATAAAAATTAAAAAAAACAGGTTTTTCCTCGACAGGTTTTACTTATTTTACTTTGAGATGAATAGATAGATGATAGACAGATAGATAGATTGATAGATAGATGGATGAATAAGGGAAGAAAGAATGGGAGAATAGTGTGTGAAAAATGCAGTCGACTGCATTTCCACTCGAGGGAACGTTGACACTGTCTCCTCCTCTCTTTCTTTCTTCTTTCTTTTTTTATTTTTTATTTTATTTTTTTTTTTGACAAAGAAAGATATGCAAAAGAGTAAGCAACGATCAAAAGCTGGGACGGATTTAAGGGAAAGTGCAACGGGGGTACGGATCTCTAAATAAGTGGGCCTTGATAAAAATAATTTGTTTTTTCTTTTCTTTCCTCAAATTTTATTCTTTCCCAAATTGTTCTAATTATAATATTGTATTACGTTTTTTTTTTTTTTGAAATTTATTATAACGAAAAATATTATGTTCTAATAATTTATTTGAACGAAATTTTGGTAAAATTGAACTTGTAAATAATATTTAATTAAAATTAATTTTTGGAAATATTTTAAATATAAAATGTTTGATTTTTAATGGAAAGTATCCAAATTGATTTAATATTTTATACTTACTATTAATAGAGAGCATATATTTAAAACTTTGTTGTTAAATCGAATAATGTAATTATTCGTTTACTTATTATAGTGGACATATTTATAGTTTCACTAACAATAAATTTTTCATCAGATCTTAAGTTGACCTGGGGTTAATATACTTTTAAATCCGTCCCTGTATCAAAGATAATTTAATTTCTCTTTGTCAACCCGATTGTTTTATAGATAATTTTTTGTTCTTTTTGTTTTTTTTATTTTTTCCTTTTTCTTCTTCTTCTTCTTCATGTTTTTCATTTCAGAGGAAGATTCAAAGACAACGGCCAAAGATTTGGAGTCACACGAGGAAGCGAGTTTGCCGAAAGAATCAAACGTTTCTCGTGAAAATACGTCGTCCACGTTGAGAACGAAGATACCGACTAAATTAGCTCCATTGAAAAAAATCGATCGCAGTCAACAAGATGTCAGGAAGAAAGAAGATAGAATACGTTCACGAAGAGAAAGCGATACCAAATCCGATATTATTTCGTCATTATCAACTGATCGTGCTGCCAGAGATTACACGAATCTTAAATTTCAAGATCCTAATTTTTACGAGTGTCCAAAATTATTGGACCACAACAACGTTACCGTAGTGTCTGGTAGTACAGAAACGACAACACCAATTACGACACCTAAAAAGGAATTGGATTTGAAGGAAGTATTGAAAAGATCCGAATCGTTGAGTCCAAGACACGAAAAAGATTGGGAACAATTATCGAGTAAATTCAGTTCAGAAGAGAATATCATTGATATTGATAAATTAAGTGCCAGTAATTTGGCAAGATCGGACAACAATAAGTTTGATCTTAAATTTGACAAAGAAAAACATCCAAGTCAATTGGGCCAACAAAAGGAATTAACGTTAAGCGGCGGTGGTTCGATGTTTTTAAAAAGTAATCGTAGCAGGGATACTACACCTAGTCAGGACAGTGCTAAATTAGAAGATTTTCGCGTAGGTTTAGGTGCTGATGTTGTTGTTCTACCGGACGCGCTCAAGTCGATCTTGAGAGAAAAACAATCGGAGGACGGTGAGCCAAGATTCATTCATTTTTATTACGATTTGTAGTATAACGCGTTGTTACCATTTGTACTTCGAACATTTTTCAGTTTACGTCAATCTTAGTACCTAACAAAAAAAAAACAGAAACAAACACTCTCTCTCTATTTATCTATCTATCTCTCTCTCAAAAAAAAACAAAAAACAAACAAAAAAACAACTCGTAGAGAAACAAACAAACAAAAAAAACCCTTTGTTTTGAAATTTAATTTAATGAAACTTTTTTTGAAATTCTAATTTGCCAGACGAGAGGCCATTGGACGAGGAACGGAAAAGTGTACGATTTGATCTAGAAAAAGAAGTCGATATTAAATTCACATATTCTGGATCGGAAGATGAATGGGATTCAGGATCGGAAGAACATAATCTACCAATATCTAATAATACGACTATTGTTGATCGTCAATCTGATACTACGACGTCATCAGTATGGAAAGGAACACCCAATCGTTCCTTTGACGATGATGATAAAAATGACGAGATTGATGATGTTAATATTAAAAAGAGTACATTGATAACCAAATTGCAACCATTACCAAAGACTAGTAAAATAGTTGGAAAGAGATTCGTCGTAAGGAACGTTTCCGAAACTGAACATCGAACACAAATGAACGCTAACGATACAACAACAACAACACCAACGACAACAACATCAACAACAGCGACAATAGCAACAACAACAACAACAACAACAACAAGTTCTGTTATTGAAACTGAAAATGACAATGAATGTACTACTACTACTACGAACATACCTGAAATGACTAAAAGTAAATTTGACAATATTAAAAATATCGATTTGATATCAAAAAGCGAAACAGAATCGAGTATTACGAAAAATACTGATACCATTAACGTACCAGATAAAACTTGGAAGACCACCGTCAGATTACATAATATCGGTAGCAGTGGTAATTTAGATCTTGCCAGAATTGTAAAAGAATTTGAAAGTTCTAATCGTAATATTGGCAAATCTAAATTAGAACATTCGAGAAGTTTGGAAGATACGAAAATAAATTTAAGCAAGGAACACGAGGTTGATTTAGAAATGTTGAAGAAAGAATTTGAAGAAAAATTGGAACTAGCTAGGAAAGAATTTGAAGATAATCTACGGATAGAAAAGGAAGCACTTAGGCGTAATTTTGAAGAAAAATTGATTGAATTTAAACAAGAAATGGCTGTAAAGGTAAGAATACACTCATATATTATATATAAAATTTGTGAATAAGTTCTTTTTATAGTTGTTGTTACTTTAAAAATTACAAAAATTAAATAAATCAATCACGTAACATCGTATTTTGTGTTTTCTTTATATTTTTCCAATAGGAAGAAGAAGAGATACAAAAATTAATAGCAGAAATGAACGAGTCAAGGGCAGAAAAGTTGGAGAATGTCAGATTCGAATTAGGAGCTTGTTACGATAAGGAATATAAGGAAATTTTGACGAGTTTCAAGAGCGAACTTAAGGAAAAGAAAAACCAACTTCTTGAATTGAGAAATCAAGAAATGGAGAAACTGGAGACCGAACACGAGCGTGATCTAGGTGCAGAAAAATTAGCGAAGTTTAGCGAATTTGAATTGAATAAGCAACAAACGGAAAGGATCGAGGAATTGAAAAAAGGATTGGACAAGGAGTTCGATGAAATTAAAGCTGAACTTAGAATACAACAGAGGGAGAAAATAACTAAGCTCACTGAGGAACATGACAAGTGTCTTGCCGAAATCCTGCGTGACTTTAGAATCGACGTGAGTACCTGACGATGCTGTCTATTGTTTTAAAATAAAAAAAGAACACACTATTGAAAACGAAAACACTTTAAAACAAAAACCAAAAAAAAAGAAACAAAACAAAACACCCTAAAAATCCTTTCCTGAAACATCCGCTAAAACAAGCAACCAAATATTATGCAAAAGCGTACTTTTTTCTTTTTCTTGTTGTTAAGTATAACGAGAAAAAGGATTTAAACAATATAATAAAAAAAAATATATTTATTTATTTAATCCTTTCGTTACTGTTGACCTCATACATGGGTCATTCGCGCAAAAGGATGTAGTAATGAAAGGGTTAAATTAAGATATATTTGTATGTAGAACAATAAAAAGGAATGTTTTAAATTACATTCTTAGGCCTTATTGAATATATTGATTCGTTTAAAGAAAGATCATAATATATATATACGCAATATTTATATATGCATAAACAAATTTTTCTATTAGATTTAAAACTTAGATCAATCAAATAGAAATATATATATATATATATATATATATATATATATATATATGTCAATTAAAAGATTGCGTGAAAATATAATATTTTATTCTCTCATATATTTCATATAATATTATTAATCGTATCTTCAAAAGTAATAGATCAATCAAATAGAAATATATATATATATATATATATATATATATATATATATATATGTCAATTTTTGGATTTATAGTCACAAAGGTCTAATACCAATTGTTCTTAATGATAACATATATAATATAAAATATTAAATAGTTTATAAGAAAATAATAGAAAAAGTTAACTATATATTATTGATAGCGATTTAAATGTGTTAAGAGTTTATATTTGGAAACGAAACAAAATAAAAAGAAAATAGAAATAAAATGTTACGATTCGTTCGTAAAACACAGCCTAAGTTACTGTGTATTAAACGTTTATACTTTACCCCCAGGACAACTCACGGGTCATTAAATTGCAATCATTGAAATTAGTTCTAATATATACATATATATATATATTCATCAATTAATAATCCAATCATACATATGTCATAGATTGATCAGGTTCATAAATCATTTAAAAAAACAGCACATCCTCTTAATTCCATTCATAAAATCAAATTATCAATTGACATGATATAAAATAATATTAAATTGAAAAGGATCTGTATTGATCTTTTAATTAGTATTAGATCTATCAATCAATTAGATTGTACTAATTAATCGATCTATGGAATTGTTCCAATACGATAGGATGAATTTTGAAGCACAGGAGGACTAATAACAGGAGTCTGATGATAGCACCAATTTGTGTGTTGTGTATTGTAAGGATTACGATAATTATTATGATAATATCGTAGATGGATCATTGGTGTACTGCCATATTTCCAGGAGGGTCTTGCACGTAAGATGTACAAGCAACGATTAGAGGAAATTCGTGCTGATTTTTCGCGTGACCTTGAGAAGGAAGCTAGAAAGCAGACCGAACGTACTCTACAACAGGAATGCATGGACTTCGAGAAAATACGTTGCGAGAAACGTCTACTACAAGACAAGTATATAGCCTTGAAGGAGAAATACATCAAATTGAAGAACGATGTTAGGCTAACTGTCGAAAGAAGAAATAAAAGCCGAGGTGGTGGTGGTGGTGGTTACACTACAGCATCGGAAACTGAAAGATCAAAAACTGAGAGAACTGATTCATCCGATCAAAAGTGAGTTTATTTTGTTAATTTGTTTTATTTAATCTTACTATTTTTACATTTATATTATAAACGTTTATTTTTAATTTTTTTTTTTTGTATCTATTATGATATTAATATTCTCTTTATTCTAAATATATTAACTTAATTATAAATTAATGCTATCGTTACTAACGACCCATATAAGAGTCATACAAGTGTCTAACATACACTCGTATGCGTGTCGTAACGAAACGGTTAATAATAAAATAATGTCAAATGAAAATGTTCTCTTTTAAATTATAATATAATGAAGAAAAATAATTTTAAGATGATTCATATCATAATAATTCATATATATATCGTGTCTCATAAACCATATCATTCGATTGAATCATCATTATAATCATAACCTTAACAATTATCAATAGAAATGATTAACTAAATAAAAAAAGAAAAAAAGAAAAAATATATAAATTATTGACAATTGTAAAGGTATTGTCGGTCATATTCATGCGATTCGCCCTAATATCTGGCTATAGGCCTTAAATCGTGCCCGTAGTACCCCACTGAGGAGCACACATTCAACGAGTTCGATGGCAAACGCTAAGCCAACCGATATAATTCGGACAACAACAACAACAGCAGCAGCAGGAACAACAGGAACAACAGGAATAGGAACAAATACGACAGCAACAACAGTAGGAGCAAACGACAAGAGTCAAAGTTTAAACGAAAGCGAGGATTCGAAAAGCGCGGCCAATAGGAGTAGCAGCAGCCAGGGGGGGTTTCGTGGCATTGTTCAGACCAATAGCGTGCCTTCTACGAAGAACGCCGCGAAATTTGAATCCGACGACACTACTACGGCGAGTGAAACTAACGCGAACACAATGAGAAGGCGTAAAAGTCTTGGAAGAAAAATTACGTCTAACAACAAACAACAATTAAATACTAATCCAAATATTACCAGTGGCAGCAACAACAATAATAATAATAATATAGAAAATCCCGTAGAAAATATCCGTAAACAATTGGAAAAGCTCGAACATCTTGGGGATCAATTGCCGAGCAACGAAACGGCCTACACTCTTCGATATCCTTTCCAGGATAAAGGTGATAAATCATTTGAGAAGAATTCAACAAATTAATTATCCAATCACCTCTTTCCCCAAGCTTTTAATTATATATTTTAATAATTTTCATTATTATGTTGGATACATTTTTATTAATTTTATTTGATCAAACGATTTCTATAAATTAATTATATAAATAAATTAATATTTATAAATGTTTAACCCTTTCGTTACTAAAGACCCATATACGGGTCGTACATCTATAAATCAATTGCTTTTGTTTTGTTTAAACATACGTCATAAATCACGTTAATTTTTTCCAATATTTCTTTGACGTAATATTAATAAAAATCGTATGTAACAATACATATCGTGCACGTTCGAGACGCGTTTGCAAACAGACATCGTTAGTAAACAAAAACCACTATGACTCAATCATTGATATTCGAGTATTCTGAACGAGGTCGTTCGAAAATTGCGTGTAAACAAATCGATTTAATACAATCATTTCTTATTCCAACGCGTTTCGTATAATCAATCTATACACAGAAAATTTATCTCTATATATATACGTGTTTATATAAGAAAAAATATCCGATATATATTATGAAAATTATTAGAATAATATTCCTATTTATTATTCATTGCTAAACTTTTCCTCTATTTCTCGTTCGATGATTTTTATTATTATTATTATTATTATTATTATTATTATTATTATTTGATATTTTCTTTTTTTTCTTTTTATTTATTATTTGTTCGTAATAAATTCAACAAAAAAAAAAAAGAAAAGTATATTACTGTATCATTTTTCTCCTAGGAATCTATACACTTTACTTTGGTTAACCACTTACATCCCTTCGTCTATCTTCTTTCGTAAGTTAAATTATTATTGTGATAAATCGAAGAAGTTTGCTATAATTAGGTATTTATTATTCATATTTTATTTTCATTCGAATCTTCTCGTGCTAATCGAAGCTTTGAACTTTTCCATCGTGCTCGTATTAATCGTTTTTTCCCTTTTTTTTTCTTTTTTCTTTCTTTTCTTTTTCATTTCATTTATTATTGGTCGATTTATACAAACACACACATATATGTACGCAATCTTTCTCATATATTTGTGAAGCTACATTTTATTTAAATAAAATAAATAAGATATATATGATATATTATGATATTAATAATGATTATTATTAATTGTAGCACCAGCAAATGCGTCCTCGGAATTGGAATTCTTTCGGCATCGGATACACGTTGAAAGGGATTCAGTGAGAAGGGCTAGAGAAGCATGGAAACAACAGAGGAATGCTTTCCAGGGTAGACAAAGGGCTTTGAAACAACGAAGTGCCAGAGCTACGTTAGAACAATTAGTCCAGGTATATTAATAATAATTATATTGATTTGTGGATTAATATTTGATTAGGAAACAAACAAATTAAAAAGAGTAATTATAAAATTATATTCCAAAACATTTCTTTTTGTATTTTATTTTATTTTATTTTTATTTATTTTTTTTTTTTAGGAAGAACGTGAACTTTCTGACATGGAGGTCAGTTTACATCGTACGAGAAGTCTTTTAGGTGAAAAAGTAATACACTTGAGACACTTGGAACAATCTTTGGAAAGAGTAGCTAATGCCAAAAGAAACGAAAACGATGCTACATCTACGAAAAACGACGAATTGACCTTAAGCGATATGTCAAGCGCAAGTAGCGGATTCAGTTCAACAGATATTGGAACTGATACCTTTATAGGTAAAGTCGATTAGGTAAAAAAGACTTTCTAATTCTATTAGAACTCGTTCTCACATATTTTTTTGTTCTTTTCTTTTTTTTCTTTTTTTTTTTTTCATTCATTCAGACAAACCAGATCATTATCAAGAATCGACAGAGATAATCGCCAATTTGGAGAATCTTAACTCAGAGATACGTGAGATTTGGAATGTTTTAAATAAACGTCAAGATAGTAATAATATACCACCACCTACTTTGATGTATTCGTATTTAAGATGGCTACGTCTTCATCCATTAACTGCTTCGACTAGTAATATACAAGGTTTGTTTATTTATAATAATATTAATTGTTCTCTTTTTAATTTTGAATAAGTGCAAAGAAATGATTTGTCTTATTCATATTTATGCGTTAAAACAAATAATCAAATAGTTTCATTAGAATTTAATTCTTCATCGGTAACACCTATCTTTGATGATCACAATGTTTTCGTTGAATAATTATTTTTATTTTTATTTTAAATTTAAAAAAGCTCTAAATATAATAAGATAAACTATTATAGAATATATTGTAGAAACATTATAAAGAGTATTAGTAAATGTTAATCTAATTTTTTTAAATAACAATAATATTGAGAAAAACATCTTACCACCTTACCTACTGTGAGGTTTTACAATACAAATTAATTTACATATATATTGTTTTTAGGTACTTTCGGTACACCGAATATACAATCAAACATTTTGTCGCAATTAACCGCAGCGCAACCACCATCAACAACAACAACTCAAAACATAATCGCACAGTATGGTCCTAACAGTGGTTTCACAACCAGCGTTGGAAATACCGTAGAAAAAAGTTCATCGAATTTGGCTGATAGAACAAGAAATCTCAGGGATTGGTTGAGACAAGCTCGTGTTGAAACAACTGATATGATTGGCCCTGGACAAGCAACCCTCTAAACAAAAATTTAATACAAAAACACAACCAAGAAGAATATAAGATAATATATCAACTATAAAAACAGTAGCGTATTAAGTGGCTGTGTAGTGCCCCGAAATACCAAAGAGTTTAATTGTCAAAGAAATTTTTGAGATCTTAAAGGTTTTTCTTTTTATTAGGGTTCGAGAAAAATTACATATTATAAAAATAAATTTAATTAATGCGTTCTAAGATGAAATTTGTTATTACTTTTTCTTTTCGATTGATAACTACTTAACGGGAATGTTTTTCAAACATATTTTTTTATTCCAACTTAAGTTTGTGGGGCCCTCGATTGACTTAATCCGCCACTGTATATAACAATAAGACTAATGTCCTTCTTCCTCGTATATCTCTCTTATCCGTAGCTGTGAAATTCTTACTTATTCTATCGTTTATCTCAAACATATTGAATGAAGAAATTGACAAAAAATACGTTCTTGCTGACGATTAGTTCCTCGACTATTTAAAAAAAAAGAAAAAAAGAAATAAACTAATCAAATCCTCTCTTAAATTAGATTAACGAATTAGACGTGATATTTACCTGAATTTAGTTTTCTCAAATAAGGGTAAAATTATATATAAATATATATATACTATTTTACGATTGAAATAGTTGTAAATCTGATTAAAATACACATACACGTACACACAAAGAAACTTCCATAAGCAAAGATGACGAAAAGCAGACAAACTTTATTGAAATAAAAAAAGAAAAAAAGAAAAAAAGAAAAATTGTCTGACGATGAATCTTGTAAAAGAGTATGATCTTCAATCGTTTAATCTTGAATGAATTAATTCAATTCAATTAAAATATATAAAATTGTAAGTGTGAGAAAGAGAAAGAGAGAGAGAAAAAGAGAGAATAATCAAGCAGCTTTTTAATGAAAAATTAATGAACGATTTGATGATTTATGGTGACAAGAAAAGAAAACAAAATGAAAACAATGAGAATATACACTATTTAAGTGCATTATATTTTAAGATGATAAACGTTTCTCTATTATCATATATATATACAAACATATATATAATTAATATATATAATAATTCTAGTCGATGATTAAAAAACAAAGAAAAAGAAAGGGGAAAAGAAATGGAGGCTGTAAATACCAATATTTTCGATACTATTTCAATCCTGAAATAGAAAAGCCTTGACCACCCATTTAAATAACGTGTCAATGTGTAATACTCTGTGAGTGTAACGTTTGTATCATTTACTTATCAACATATATATATATAAATAGAAAGAAAAAAAGATAATGAGAGATAAGAGATATAATATATAACGAATTTTGTAGCTGTTAGAGTTCACTGCTGCTACTACCTCAGTCGTGAATCTTTAAAAGTCTTTTGACTATTATACGAACGTAAAAAATGTGCCGATAATTAATATTATTATTATAATTATTGTTATCACTAATGTTAAATTTAAAATAAGTTTCATGATGGTTCCTTTTTTTTGACGTTTCTATCTAATCAACGATTTAAGATCGGGATAAATGCTTTTTTCTTCTTCAACTAGACGAAATTACTGGAAGGGATTATTATTTTTTGTTAAAAAAAAAAAAGGTTCAAAGTATTACTTTTTTTATCATTATTGATTACATTCAAAGGATTTGATTTTTTTTTTTTTTTTATTACATGTTACTTTGAAAATGATTACTTTTGTTTTATTAATTTGAAATAATATTTGATATGATTTTTGTTTGCTTGTTAAATTGTTTAATAACTTATTCTCTATTTTTTTTTTTTTGACATTGTTAATTGTTGTATTACATGTAAAGATTAGAAAGAAAGAAAAATATAACAAGTGCCTGATTTGTTTGATTTAAGAACAAACAGAAAACAAAAGAAAGAAAGACAGAAAAAAAACAAAAAGAAAACCCATGGAAATCAATTTGAATTGTGTTTTAAATTATTGATTGATAGGTATTACAATTTTTTATTTTTTTTTTTATTTTTTTCTAATTAAATCGTCGTAAGAAACAAAATGTCTACACCCGATTTACTTGTAAATAGAATGATTGATAAGATAGATCGATATGATCTAAGAAAGATCTCCGACGAATCTTTTTTCAAATAATCTTGTGTATATATATTTTTATGATCCATAAATTCGTCAAACAGTTTCACCCTCTACGCCCACACCCACCCCCTCTTTACAGTATTGTCGTATGTATAATGTACAGAAACATTTACATATATACATGTGTGTACGTAAGAAACAAAAAGAGAGAGAAAGAGAGAGAGAGAGAGAGAGAGAGAGAGAGAAAGTAAAACTGTATTTTACAAATGAGAAAAACAATATCCACTTCGTTCGTTTAACAAAAATTTTGTCTATCTTTCGTATTTGAGAAATCTATTTCGATATATATTTTTTTTTGCTTCTTTTTTCTTTTTATATAAATTAAAGGAAACAAAATTGTCAACGAAAAAAAAAAACAAATAATTAAAAAATAATATATGTTATAATAAGCATGATTGAAACAAATCAAACGCATGTATGTGTATACATATATATATATATATACACTTCGTAGATATGTTTTTTATATCCGTATAAACAAGACTCATTTATATTAAAAAAAAAAAAAATATATATATATATATATATAGATAATATTGTAATAATATTAATATCGAAATGATTTCTTTTCGAAGGTAAATATCAATCAAATCGCCTAATTGAATGTCGCGAATCGATTATATCTCAGGTACGAAAATATGTCGTTTCGTTTAAGATAATCGTTTAAAAATAATAACTAATACGTAATTATTATTATTATATATATATATACAGACACACAAACACACGTATACTTTGATCAACAATATCCCTCGCAGCATATACAAGGTGTCTGAAGTTTTTCCAATGAAATCGTGTCAGTATATATAATGCACGAAATTATGAAAACCGATTTTGACATAATTCGAAAAAATCTTAGACACCCTGTATATTATAACATTTAGTATATATGTATATACATATATATATATATATATATATATATATATATATATATATATCTTACCAATTGTTCTAATTAAACGATAATTATAAAAATAATACAAAGAACGTTAACAATGTACTCCGGAACGTAATAATTATCCAAAGCACATCTCTCAATTGCCAAATCGTAGTGTTTAGAAATAATAAAAAAAAAAATAAAAAAATAAAAAAGAAAAAAAATCTTTTGATTTAACGTTTTAAATCGTTAAAATGAAGGAATGACATAACGAATGAAGAAACGAATACAGGTATTATTATTGCTAAATGTATTTTTTTTTTTTCATATCGATCGTTAACGAAACTCGGTCGGTAAATTATACGACAAGTAAAAAAAAAGATAAATGAATGAATGAATGAATATAAACCAAAAAAAAATATATATATATAAAATAAAAATAAAAATTATAATAAAAACTTTTGATGTACTGATTAGATATTTTTTCCGAGATGATTAGGAAGTTTCATAGCGCAAATCTAAGATGCATATTTTAGATCTCTTACGTCACAGTAATTGTGATCTCATTAGAAGTATGTAATGTGTAATGTAATTAGAGATCTTACATTTTGGAAAAATGATAATGATATTTATGACGGTAATGACGATTACGATGATTAATAAGAAACTGATTAGATCGATTCAAAGAGACAGAGAGAGAAATAATAATAATAATTATAATTATAATAATAATGAATTATAAACGATAAAAGTAAAAGAAAAATACAAAACCGGACACAAAGAAAACAATTATTTCTAGTCATAAATATTTAATGATTTCTCTCTATGTAATTTGTACATTTATATTTATTGTTAATATAAATGAAAGAACGAGAAAATAATCAGTGATTGATTAATGATTTAGAATATATTTACTAATAATTTTCTTCATTATTTATATATAAAAATGTAAACTCCAAAATAATAGTATTTTTACGTCAGTACCGTCTTTTAATATTCGATTATGTTATAATTATGATTTATAATATAGTAAGTTATTTAATTAAGATTATTCTTCTTATAATATTAATTTGCATATATGTAAAAGAAATTATTTGATGACTATTATTTTTGTAAATCCAAAAATAAAATTAAATTCATTTGATTTTATCAAATGAAATAATATATATATATATATATATATGGGACAAAATAATTGCATTTGAAGGATTATAAATATATAAAAGAAAAAAAGATAAATCACAAAAAACAATATTATTCCATTCTTAAAATTCTAATAGAAAATGTATCATTAAAATAACGTTTTTTTTTTATTTATGGATTTGCAAAAAGACTGTCGTAATTACTGTACACAATTATTGTACTTCGTTTTATCTTTGAAAAAAAAAAAAAAAGAAAAAGTATACATTGATATTATTTGTATAGAGACGAAAATTTGAAGACACAGTATAAGATGGAAATTTTTAAAAGGCGATTGATTTATTGAGAGAGATATTGAATGAATGGAAAAAATAATTCTATACAAAGCGAACAATACGAAACATTAGCGTCCTTAAGAGAAATTGAAGTAAAGTAAAGAAAAGAAACGAAATGAATGCAAAAAAAAAATAAATGAAGAAAAAAATACTAAATAAATAAATAACAATAATAATAATATTAATAGATCACATTGTTTTGAGGATTTTATTTCATCGGATGATATCTTTAGATCATATGTTTCTTTCTCTTTCTCTTTTTATCCTGTTATATTCCTTGAACTCATGATTCCGGAAATAATCTACAATCTGTATATTTGTCCTCACACTCATCGGAGTTCCTCTCGAAGTCTTCTTTAGACGGAAACCAAGCTGTAAACGAACCAATACCATTTGACTTCTTGTTCTTCAATGATTGTTGAACAAATTTGATCACTATGGATGTTTTACATAGTAACAATCTTATGCAGGGAGAATCAAAACCGTCTATTGTGTCCATCAATTTATCCGTAAGTGCCTCGTTTCGTGCCTCATCCAACAATAATCTCATCTAAACATAAACGGAAATAATATTGTTTTTACAATTTGGATCGATCGAAATGTTTATATAATTATTCCGTTAGGTTTATTTCTTTCTTTCTCTTTTTTTTTCTTTTCTATTTACGAAACGCATTTTAAGATCCGATGCGTGTTAGTTTTATTTTATATGATTATTGTTTTTGATAATATATTCTTATTTTAATTACATTATTTCAATTGATTTATTTAATTTAATTTTATATAACAGTAAAATAATCTTGTTTTTTTTTTTTTTTAAAGAATAATTTTAGATACTTAAAAAAAAAAAAGAAAAAATAATAATTATATTGTAATAAGATTTGATATTAACTTTATCATTTTTATTTTCTAGAATGAATTTCAATGGATCCCAAGGGGGGATTGTTTCATCGTTGGATTCATCTTCGATGGATCGATCAACTTTGTCGGTTTTCACTGGTGGTAAGTCGAAGAGTGAACTGATCTAAAAAAAAAAAACCAAATATATTAAAATAAACTATTAACGAAAGAACAGTGAAGGAACTGCAAATGTTAATATAATTTCAGGATGTCAGAAAAAGCACTTATCTTATATTGTATAAAGATTATTAATATTGATATTTAATATTCGCAAATTCTCTAATTATATCTTTTTTTTTGTACATTTCATTAAAAAATGTTAATTTTCTTTAGACAATGTTTTATCTTATTTTTCATGACTTACCATTTGTGCTAGAAAAATTACACTGTTAACGGCAATGGCTGCAATTTTTTGCGTATCAAGACCGAATAATCTGAAGAATGCAGATATCAAATTGGTCGGACGAAAATCTTGATTTTTGTCTGGTTCTTCTTGTTCTTGTTCTTCCGGATCTCCACGTTTTGACGTGTATCTTTTATCATTTGAATTGAAACTTTTAGATACGAGATTGGTAACATCTTTAACGATATTCAGATAATCGTTAGCATATCGTAAACCAGTTTTGATTTTATCAAACATTCCTATTTGATAAATGATATGAAAAAAAAAGAAATAATAATTTGTATATATTATCATTATCATCATCTTTTTTTAATTTATTTGTTGAATATATTGAAAAAAGAAAAATTACCATCTGCTTTGGTATAAACAATCGAATCGAAAATGATTAATATTAGGATAAATTGTAGGATCACTTTAACTGAAAACATTTTAACGCTATGAAGAATATTTCAAGACTGTGATGAGAATTTTCGTTCTCCGTTGTAACGGGTGTTCAAAAATAATTATCCTGAGCGTTTTAATTGTCGTACTAGTTCGCTCTGTTGACCAAGCATTTACAAAAAGAAAAAAGAAAAAAAAGAAAAGAATAACAGAATGACAAAGTAACAACAACCCGGTTTTCACAGTTTCGATTTGACCACGGTACACGATGATTTCTAATAGAATTTTTATTTATTTCCTAATTATTTTATGGAATTTTCAATGTGTAAATTTGTATGATATTTATCAAGATGAAATTGAAAGTTTGAGCGAGTTGCCTATGGATAAATTGATCAAAATCAAATCATCGATTAAACCAATGTTGGGTTAGTAATAAATTAAAATATATTTTTATTGTAATAAGATAAATGTACCGTTGACAATTTACAAAGAAAAAAAATAATAATCACACATATTTTAAATAATTAATGAAAAATTTCGACTCTCCTTATAGTTTTTAATAATAATAATATATTTCTATACAATATATATATAAATATTACATTAATAATTGATACATCGTACGCGTGTATTACTGTGGATTTGCAAATATTGCTAATAGAAAAATAAATAAAAAATAAATATTTTTTTTTTCACCATAAAAAGTACAAATTGAGTATCATTAAAAAGTTTTGATATCGAGTTGTTAATCAAATGATTTTCTAAATAACAAAATAATTATATTTTATTAAGTTACCTTAATATTTGATTAATCGTTAATTTAATGTTATTACTTTTCGTAACACATTTTTATTATATATACGAAAAAAATTAAATTAAACGAATACAATTAAAATTCCTATAAAAAATTTTGTTATTAAAAATTAAACATCTTTTTTTTTTTTAATAAAATTCACACCACACACACACACAAACACACTTTCTTTCACAAATGGAATTAATTCGTTGACAATAATATGTGAAATAAATGAATTTCAGAAACATCGATGATGGTTAAGAAATTTGATCAACCGGAAGGAAGAATAAAATCGACATTACCAATAGCAATGCCGTTGAAAAGAAATTACAAATTACCCAAAAGACGTGGCGATCATTACGAGGAAAAAGGGAAGGACACTAAAATATCAAAAATATTTCAATTAGCTGTAACGGCACTTTCGTTCTTGGCATTTGGCGGATATCTTTTGACATTGATCATAACCGCGATTAGAAGAAATTCTAACGCGGCTAATACTGGAAATGTAATCGTATTGTCGGTAAATTTCTTATATCTTCCTATTATTTATCTTTTTATTTTCATATCTTAATCGCAAATAATTTTATTGACACAAATATATTTTCATTCTTTCTTTTGGTTTTGTTTTTTTTTCTCCCATAGAATTTGCAAACTTCACAAAACAATCAACGATTCAAGAGAAACCTATTGATTTACGATCCTGTGGAAAATCATTTTCAAACTGACAAACTTTATCATGGAATGATCATGTTGTCGCGTACTTGCGCGCGTTTCGAACGTTAAACGAAAAAAAAAAACAAGAAAATCATTTTTTTTTTTCATGTATAATATTTTTTCTTCACGTCGTATGATAATAAGTTTGTTATTTAAAAAAAAAATAAAAATAAAAAAGAAGATTAGAAAAAATAATAGATAATATATATATAGTATTAAAAGACAGAGAACAATATAAAGGTAATAGTCAAATATATAAAGTATAATAAGCGTGTGTTTCTAAAGTATGAAAGCTATCGAATTGGTGATTCTAATCGACTACTGAATCGAAGCTTTGATTATCACAAATCCGGTGGTGGATCCTCGAAAATCCTAAAACCTAATAAAATCGAATAGAGGACCACGATGTGTACATATCTTCGAAGAATATTCTTGGCGTGTGGGTTGAGGCTGCTTCAAACATGGCTCTTCAAATAAACACCTAAGTGACTGTATACTCTAAAGGCCCACGTAGAAAGATAACCATATGGCTACCACCGGAGGTATCATAGACGTCTCTCTAATATTTTCTTCCTTTTCCTTTTTTCTTTTCTTTTTTCTTTATTATTCCAATATCCTCCAATTACGATCATTATCAAAAAACAAATATATATCTATATATATACATTAATATTATTTTTACAATATTTTTCTATTTCATTGTTTCAAATTGGTTCACTTATACGCAAATACAAACGTATCACGTGTGTATATGTGAGTTATATTCAATTTATCATTAATAAATAATTTATGATCTTATTATAATGAAATTAATCATTGTAAACATTTTGATAGATCATCATTATACTCATCGTGATTGTTGTTATTATCATCATCATCATTATCATCATCATCATCATCGGTTTTGGAATAAGAAGGAGTTTTCAAATAAGCCACGCCTACATCACTTTCGTTAACCAATCACAGATAAACTCTTTAAGAAGCTGACTTGAAATTTTTCAACTCTTCAGGAAAATCTGGCTTCTCTTACTCCGGCTAAGTTAAGCAAAGCAAAACGTTAGGATACCCTTTATGCACTTTCATTCAGTGATCATAATCTTTTCGTGCGTGATTAATATATTTAAAAATCGATGTTCATTTAACAGATTAATCCTAATCATTTTATTATGTGTTAAATAGTGATGGAAAAGATTGATCGTTTTTATCGATTTCGTATGATTGTAATTAAATTATTTTAAAACTATGAATACCGAGAATACTAATAATATTTTGGATAAAGTTAATCGTCCTAAGGTATTGAAATTTGGCGTTGAACGTATTTTATCCAATGAATTTTCTTCGAAGAGAACAGGTGAGAATATTAATATTTATCATTAATAAATCAATTGAAAATTTTCATTACAGATACAATCGTATCGAATAATAATTACTAATTTCATTTGTTAAATTGTTAGTATTACTCCTACTTTTTCTTTCATTTTTGAAATTATACTTTGAATAGTTCTCTTTTTTTTAGTAGATATTCTAATGATAAACTTTTTAATTAAAATATTAAAATTATAAACGTAATATTAATTATTATTGATATATATAATCAGATATTATAATTAAATTTGTATTTATTAAATTTTGTTGAAGTAAATAACACATCTCAACAACCAAACATATTACTAATTTTTTTTAATTTTTCTAATTATATTTTATAAACATTTTATTGTTTCTGAATAGTTTTTCTTTAGTAGATATTCTAATCATAGATTTTTGAATTATAATAGTAAAACTATAAACATAATATTAATTATTATTGATATCTATAATTGAATATTATAATTAAATAACAGAAACTAAAGAAAATTTATTAGTGTAATAAAATTTTTAGATTATATATATCTTTAATAATAAAAATAATGAAAAAATTATAAATTAATATATATAAAAAATTAAATTACTTTTATTCGTAATGTCCAAAGCAATACGTCCAAATCCAACATCGATGATTCCATCACAAGATATATTGAGACCATTGGCAGTACAATTTTCTACCGTAACATGTCCTTGTCCCGGAAGTTGTACAAGTTGCAATCTTCGTACAAGTTCCGTTTATCCATTCGGACAAACTCCGATTGAGACTCAAACAACGATGATTAATTATCAAAGAAATCATTCCGACAATTATGGAAATTTATATAGACCAGCTGCCATTCGTGCTATATCAAGAGGTAAAAGAAAAACAAAAAACACAATTTATTTTATTACAAAATTCATTATTATTATTTTATTCCTATCCCTTCCTCACCTCTTATTCTCCTTTCTCTTTCTATTTTTTTTCTTTTAATCAACGAAGAAATAAAAATCCTAATTAAAGTACATACATCGTGTAAGATCAGGATTACGTCATTAACAAATGCCACCATATGGGTTTGTTTGAACCACGTTTTGGTTTTCCTAATAGCAACCAAGTAGAAAACAAAAAGGAAGGAAGGAAGGAGCAAGGAAGAAAGAAGCAAGCAACTAGGGCAAAATATTTATGCGCCAATGTATTCTCGTGTTTCCTGTCTGTGTTTAAACGACATCTTAAGTGGCACCGTGCGTTTACAACGCTTATAAACAGCGGTTTAACCGCTTGTCTTTCATAGCTTTATAGTTTCAACCTTTCGGTGGCATCTATGTGCTTTTCTGCAGCCACTTTTCTACAGAACCAACTAACCAACCCTCCCCCTATCCCCTACCCCTTACCACCTACCCTCTTACACACCCTCCTCTCTTTCTCTCTCATTCTATCTTTTTCTCTCTTTTGTTCGAATATAACATCGACATGAGAGAGAAAAAGAAGTGGGAAAAGAAAAGGGGGAAGTAAGAAGGGGGGGGGGAATGAATTTTAAACATCCTAAGTGGGTTTAAATTAGAGACTTATTTAGACTTTTCATTTTTTTTTTTCTTTTATTCTTTTGTATTCTTTTTTTATTACATCTTCGAGGAAGAAATAAAAGTTAGAAAGATGGAATGGAACGTTTTCTCCTTTTTTTTTTCTTGGCGGGAAAATATATATTGGACGTATTTGAATTTTTTTCTTATTTTTTTCTTTTTTTTTCTTTTTTTTTCTTTTTTTTTCTTTTTTTTTTGTTTTCTTTTCGAAGAATACCAATAGGAATCCGAGAATAGGTTATGCGAAATCTTAAAAATATCTATCAGGCGTTACGGATATTTTCAGAACTATGTGTAAATAATTTTCGGACGGCTTTGTTGTTGCATACTTTTTATCTCATAAAATGAATTGTAAATTAAAACCAACATTTTTTTCTAAACTTTACTAAACTTTTTTTTTATTGATTTTATTCAGTGACAAGTACGGCGGCATCATCGAATATCGTCAACAACAGTATGGAAACAAATGCTAGAAGAAAAAGATCATGGTCCAGAGCTGTGTTTAGTTCGTTGCAAAGGAAAGGCTTAGAGAGGAGATTTTCATTGCAAAAATATATCACCAAACCCGACAGAAGACAATTGGCTGCTACCTTGGGACTAACAGATGCTCAAGTATATTACTTTCTTTTATTTTATTTTTTTTTTTACGAATGATCAACAAATTATTCTCAATCATTTTATCTCGTCGTATCTTTTCAGGTCAAAGTTTGGTTTCAAAATCGTCGAATGAAATGGCGACACACCAAGCAAGGTGAAAACAATAATTCATCTATAACCGATCCGGACTCGACTCAAAAAGAAATCCCAACAAAAATTGTACAAAACACAACTACTACGAAAATTGTCGAAGGAAAAACTGTTCTTTCCGAAGACGAGGAAGATATCGAGATACAAGTTGACGTATAATAATAATAGTAATAATAATAATAATAATAATAATAATAATAATAATAATAATAATAATAATTACGATCGAAACAATTATTTGTTAGGATGAACATTTTTTTCTACTCTTTCTTAACTTTATTTCGACCGATTTAAGAGACGTACATCTCAACGATACGAAAACATTTCCTTAGAGAAAAGGATTAATTTAACTTAATAAAAGATAAATAATAATTAAAGGTTTTGAGTTAGAAAAAAAGAAAGTTAGAAAAAGTATGAAAAAATAAAATTTTATTGCAACTCTCTCTCTCTCTCTTTCTTTCTCTTTTTTTTTTATAAATAATTTAAAAATCTTTATACAGATCGATGTAAATATATAGTTTTTTTTTTTTACAATTGTGTATGAGGTGTTATCTATCACCGAGGGGCACGTATTTAGTTCGATAATTTTATCACTAGATGGCATGGCATGTATAAAGTGTTGTCTACCACCAAGGAGTAAACTTTTAAAATTCAATTCCTGATCTATCGTAATATGATTATTGATCTATACCAGTGGTTCCCAAACTTTTTTGTCTCTTCGCCCCCTTTCTTGAGAAAATATTGCTTATCGCCCTTTTGAAAATTCACCTGTGGTCCGCATCACTTACATGGGGGCGATATCGTCCACTTTGGGAACCACTGATCTATACAGACGATATTAATTTAAAAAATCACAATCTTAATAGAAAATATTACACGTTTTTATCTTCAAAGACGCAAATTATTTTTTCTAACAAATTGATAGGTTCATCTTTGGTAGATATAAAATTATTAATAGATTTTTCAGTAGTTTCGATTATAAAATCCTCCAAGACAGTTTTTAACATTTCCAGATCAAATAAACAATGATTTTTACCGTATTGGTATTTATTAAAGGAAGTCGCTTTAATTTTATCATTAATAAAATCTAAACGTTTCTCAGCGATGAAAGAAATGAAAGAATAAAATTGTTTGTAATTCATACCGTGATTAATTTCCAGTAGTAGTTGACAATGTTTAGGCCAATCATCCATATCCTTAACATCATCGACTTCTTTCATAATGGAAATCAAACTTGTTTTTAAATGCAGCCACATGATGTTTATATTACATCCATTGATCCAATTGTGATTAATAGAAATAGTATCTTCCTATTGAACGATTTGTTTAAAAAATAATTTTAAACGATTTGCATATGTGCATATAGAAGAATATATATATATACAGAAAAATCCGTACCAAATTCCAGACTTGATGATGCCATCCAGATGGAACAAACATAATTTCACCAGGTTCTTGTATTACTTCTATATATTTAACATTTTTCTCATCGTAATTTTTGTATAACTTACGATTCTTAAGATCATCAGAAAATACATCGTACACCAAGTTACCGTGCACGTCATAAAATTGCTCTTCTTCTTTTGGCGGAATGAATAACCAACGTTTTCTACCAACGATATTGGCAGACCAGCTGTAAGATTGGAAGACGTCTTTGTGCAACGGCGTCCTGGAAAATAAAAAAAAAACCCAAACGTTAATTAAGAAATGATGTGTGTTATAAGAAATATAAAATATATTATTTAATTTACCACGTTCCCTTTGGTCCCATATAAACAAACATATAATCATCATTTAATTCTTGCTTAGCGATGAAATATTCATTCAACCAATCAGAAGCAAAGTAATAAGGTACTTCGTAAAATTTAACATGCTTGAATTCTTGAGAACAATGCCAATCCTTCAGATACAAAAGCGGCATATCGGCAATATAATCCTTCTCTTTATACTTAACCCAATATTCCATAAAATCTTCCATTTTCATCTTTTTCTTAAACTGAGAATTGTAATATTTTGCTTGACAATCATATACAGGTACCATTGTACGACCTGTTAAATGATTTAAAAAAAACACTTTAAAAATTATGAAATAAGATTTAAACAAATAAATAATATAAATTATTATCTGTTTAATAATAAGATAACAATATTATTATTAAACAGATAATATACATTTTACAGGTTTATTTTTATTTATAAGCAACATTGAATGCCATTTACCGAACATTTTGGTGAGATATTCAAAATTTGGCGCGTCTCCTGATACCCACAGATTCCTACATGGCCAACCAGAGGTAACGGTTGAATTGAAGATGCATGGTTGATTTTTAATTAAATAATTTTTAAAGAATTCTTCATACGTTAAATTATCATCAACTTTTTGAATCGATTCAATCATTGAAAGATTTTCATTATTTGATGGTACTTCACTTTCCGTTATTTCGATTAATTGAAACATTATTTACATCACACTCATCTAATAAATATTATAAATTATTGTAACACACCTGCTGAGATAAATATCTATAAAAAAAAAATAATATTAAGCATTTAGGAAGATATTCTTAGAAAAAATAAAGAAATATTAAATTTATAATTATAATAAATAACGAAACATATATTAAGAAACAATACCAGAACTAAAGGACCACTTTTTTCTTGACACCATTAATTTCAATAAACGCACAGTCAACAACGATAAGGATGAATTAGGAAACATTTTCAACAGTGTTTGTACAACGTACCAAAAGTTCGATTTTTTAACAAATCAATATCTATTACCTTATATATA